GGGGCGACTCCACAAAGAGAAAAAAAAAAGAGTGATAGGTTCGCGCAGTCCAAATACCTCCTTGGTCATACTCACTGACGCCTGGCAAGTAGTGAGCGCTCATAACTTAAGGACTCTGGGCATGCGGTTTGGGTAATGGAGCGGCCAAGCGACGGCTCTCAGGGGCACACGGTACACACTACTACATTTTTTTTGTACCCCAAAACATTAAATTCTAGAGACATTGACCACACTGTTACGTGTAGAGCACTGTTCTTAGCACTACTTCTACACTTTGTGAATCATGTACATAAATAAATCTGCAGTTTACTTGTTTTTCGATTGGTCCTTATAGAAGCCATGACCAAATAAATACACTCCTGAATTTTTTGTCTGTAACTGCTGGCGAACTTAAGAAAAACCTGAAGGGCCTAGTAAAAAAAAATTGGAACTTAGGGAGGCAGCTGCTGCGGCAACAGCTGCAAACGTGGGGGACCAAGTAGTGCAAACTAAGATGGTGGGCTTCTTTCTGTATTTTATACATTAAGATTTGAGTACACATAATTAAATAGGTGATTTTCGAAACACACACAAACTGTGTACACTGCACGGTACTTTTTTTAGGCTCCGATAGTAATCAAAGATACGTAAGCACATCATTTCTTGGACACCTTGCACTTGCTTGCTTGCTGAAGGATACATTTTTTCAGAGTTGAAAGCTTCTTCTCTTTTTTCTCTATCTTAACTGTTAAAAGGTGGAGTGAAGAGAGGCAGCCAAGGCAGAGTTTTGTTCCTGGGACAGAAGGTCCACTTCAATTAAAGCAGATGAACCTCACCTTAATGTTTGGCTCACTCTGTTTTACTTTCTGGGGTGAGAGTCTGGAGCGTTGTGAAATGTTATGAAAAAGCAAGATGGCCATATGTTACAAAAGGTTCTTAGCCTTTGTTGGAGATCGGACCACATATTTCTCGCTTTCTCATCTGACGTTCTACCCCTGCACTAGTCAATTGGCTTTGGCTAATATCCTTACGGTTGCCAAGTGCTTGTGTTGCCGCAAAAACTCTGTCACCTTAATCGTGGGACGAGTCAAGTGATCACTTAACCACGATAAGTTGTGTTCCTATAGTTGCTCTAGGGTAGTCACAGGACCATGGAAACTATAGTTATATGATACGATGGTATCATGAGATGTCACTTCACATGGCCATAAGATGTTGGTACACTAGGTGGCGTGATATCATTATTTATCATCACATGTCCCATCGTCGCAAAAACCTCGTGACTCCTAGTGGGACTAACAACCATATTATGACCCATTGTCATCAATGACAAGGTGATCACACCACCAGACAAAGGATCGTGAGCCACCAGAGATGCCCTTAAGCGAATTCCATTGCTTGTCATAGATCAGTTGCAAAATTTTCAGCTTGTCTCGATACCAGGGCAGCAAAAAGCACACTGCATCCCTCTTTCAAATTGAGGCTTTTGCCGCGTCTGAACCTGCTAGAAAAGGCTGAAGTCCGCTTCCACCTCTGCATCCTGAAAAACATTAACGGTGGATAATTGAGACAAAAAGAAATGCATGTGTGTTACACATGGTTACTTTTCTACCTCTAATTTTGCCTTTTTGTTTTGTTTTTGCTACAAAATTTCAGGAGAACATCGGGATTGGAGTCATGGTTCTCGCAGTGCTTTTGGCGAAATAGAACACTACGCATATTAACTAGACAAGCTGGCAAGGCACTTGGTCGGTATTGTATTCACTGTGGAGGAGAGGCGGGGCAAGCCATTGATTGGAAAGGCTTGAAATTCACAAATGGACTTCTCTGCAAAGGAATGCTTCGAGAAAAAAAAGATGGATGCCATCATCAGTTTGTGCAGAAACTTGTATGAATCTCTTTTTTTTCGTTCGTATACTTTGCTTATACTTTGAGCTCTTACAGTTCGACTTTGAGTGACCCACTGTTTGTGTGTAACTAAAAATTTATAAATAACTACTACTTTCAATTTTAGGTGCCTGAAATGCTCTAAATTATGTAATATATTTCTAAAAACAGTTGTCTTTTTACTATTCTTCTCATAGTTTTTAAATTAGATATATTTTAGTTTAGTCTAATCAATCATTTCTTGATATTAACAGCTTTCCTGTATAAGTTTATTTCTAGTTACTTAGCTGCTGCTTTAGTAATCATAATATATAGGTATCATGTTACAATTAGAAAAAAAACGTTGATTCTGGCTGAGTGCATAAAATTTGTTTTCTTCCCCAGCCTATGTCTGCAGCCAGTACAAGGTGGACGATATCAAGATAATAAAAAAACAGTTTGAGCAATATACTGCCAGAGGAGTCCAAAGAGAAGTCTTGTAGTACTAGCACTAAAAAAATTAAAAGCGAAGCCTAATGGGAGGTTTTTAAATATCAGCAAAACTTAAGTGAAAAAATTACGTTTCAGAACAATTTTAAATTTGTTGAAATTATGCAATGTAATTAAAATTGTCTAGATGTCAGTTTTTGTAGCGCTGCCAATGCAATGGAATGAGAGCAGAAAAGTGTTAGTAAATGGCGTAGTGTCAGAGGTAAATCTGCAACATGTGAATTTGAGAACATTGTCCCAAATGTGGGACAATGTTCACTAAAGTAAATTGAAAAGCTAATAAAAAACTGTTGACATTCAATATCTTCTGTGTCTCTTTTCGACTGAATCAACAGCCATATTGTGAAGCCTTGCTGTTGAAAAAGCTGCAGAAAAAAAGTGAACAGGAAATATTGAATGTCGAAAGATTTTCAACACAAAGCCTCACAGAATGTCTGTTGACCTTCAAGTGATAAGTGGGGCACTATTCTATAGAGAGTCACCATATATTTTTATGCTTTTCTCTTGAAAAGCTGTTGACATTTAATAGGTTCCGTTGACTTTCAACATCACGGAAAGTCCGTTGACTTTCAACAGAAATGCGGGCCAAAGATCAACAGCAAGCAAAAAGAAAAGCTGCTAACATTTTCTATTCTCTGTTGAGTTTTTCAAACAACTTTTCAATAAAAAAGCGCGACAATCTTTTTTTTGTAAGAGGTGTAATCTGCTTCAGCGCAAGCGCTAGCGAAGGAGAAGCTACAAGACGACCGCAAAACACTGAGACTTGTGCTCGCACGCGCCCTCGTGAAATAATAGCGCCGTTCAGGACAATATCGTCAGGCTTGTAGCATCGGTGTCTTTCGCACTTATTGTGCAACAACTTGGGGAATACTTTACTTGGTATTGCCAGGGAGAGGAAAATAGTGCGCGGTACGTTAATCACTGCACAAAATGAGAGGGCAGACGTGCGCGTACCTTTTGGCTTCTTTGTCAAGAAAGATTGTACCCGAGGATAGTTTTTGCAATTCCTACGTTTTAAGTAGGGTAGGTTTGCTCTACGTACGTTTTACAATAGCGCTGCAGTCCATACTTCAATTTACGCACATCCGAACTGTCGACAAGAGCATGGGTGCGAACACGGCGCGGGTTGGAAAGTGCCTTTCATGCGCGAGTTCTCGTATAATTAAAATTTTCCTTCCCGGCTAGGCACTGTTAGCCAGGCAGACATCAGAGAGGTAAAGAGTAGAGAAGTCCGGAACTTGAAGAACGAACTGTGATGCCAAAGCATGCTTTATGGAGCACGCGCCCGCAGCACTTCAGTGTGCACGGTCACCCGAGGTAGCCCTTCGCTAAACTATCGATGGACAAAAACTCACAAATCCCAATCTAGGTATTTCTTGATCGTGTTTGGTAGGTATAAGTGGTAAGGGATCCGCACCAGGCTCGGATAACGTTCGATAGTCAAATTAATAGCGAGTTGACAGAGCGGAGCACCCACTGCACTTGGGTATGGGCGACAACACCCCTATACCCTAGGCGCGAGCGCTGACAGTCGGGGCGTCCCTAAAGTCACAAGGAGGGGCATTCCTAGAAGTTGGGTTTCTCCGAAAACCTCTAGCCTTTTTTTTATACCTCCCGCCAGTCGGCTTTTTGCCGTCGTAGTGTCATCTTCAAAATGTTACAAGACGGACTACGAACCTATTTTAAAGTTGCCTCTTTATATAATTTAGCGTATTCGTACTACACATATTATATAGAATGCATTCCATAGGCTCGGTGTTCGCAGTGTATACTGGGTGTTTTTTGTACGATTATAAGTACCCAAAAAATTAGGGTATTAAAGCAACACGAATTTCGGCCAAGCACTGGCCAATGGCTGGCGATGTTATTTTGGCGAATGGCCAAAGAGTGGCCATTTTGCGGCGAATTTCGCCCCACGTCTGATAGATAGTGGCCATTAGCCAATGGCCAGAGGAATACCAGTCATCGCCCACTGGCTGGCGTCTCGCGCTGACCAGAGGACTGTTTCCAGCCATTGGCCAATTATTGGCCAAACATTTCTTCAAAAAAAATGTTATTAACCTCGACGGGCGTCAGGGCACAATAATAAAAATAATTTATATTAATAAATATTTGAATTAACTGAATAAATTTTCAAGTCATTTTAGCTGAACATGATTCTAAACTTGAGACTGGTGCAGAAAAGAGTACACAACAAAAGGTAGAAAAAGAGGAGGCAACTTCTCAATTTTTTGAGACGTTGCCTCCTCTTTTTTTACCTTCTGTCGTGTTCTCTTTTCTGCCTCAGTCCCAGGTTTACAATCATGTTCAACTTACACCAGTTTGCCTGCACTCTGACTGTTTTTGTTTTCACTTTAGCTGTCTTGTTAAATAAAAATAAAATATCTGTGCGCAGCCCTTCGTTCATATACGCCAGACTAGTTAGATATATGGGAGAAGGAACACGTTAGTGTTGTAATGAGGCAAATTTCCGTAGTTTCAGTAGCACGAGCCCGAGCCAAAGACGTCAAAAATCGTAAAACGAGCGAAGAACACCGCCTCTGAAGTCGGATCTGCGTGTCACGTTGCTCTGCCTCCGTCGTCTGCTACAACTATTTCTACAGTGATCACTTCCGACACTCCTTTCAACGTTGCGAACGACAAGGCACACTTTGCAACACGTTTATTGCGGTACAAATATGCCGTGTTTAGAATAGAGTACGAAAACGAAAGAGCCGCATATAAGACACTTCAGAAGACGAGCCTGTCTACTCTAATCAAAAACACGCTAAAAATTTTAAAGTGTCTGGTGTACTTTTTTTAAATTTCACACTTGTAAAACATAATAATTTATTCCCCGTAAGTTTATCCCGTTATTCCTCCTGTGACCTCGACAGCCGCCCCAGTGGTGAAGCTGCTCTTCGGTCTGCACAAGAAGGCAATGGTGTCGGCCTGTTCGACGGGTCGCGCCTTTCGCTTCATCGGAGTGACGGCCACGAAGAGCCCCTGCACTTCGGCGGGCAAGCTGGCCAGCATGGGCGTGTCGGTGGGCCCCGGGAGGACAGCATTCACGCGGATGCCCCTGGTTGCCAGCTCCTGGGCCAGCGTTCGGGTCAGGGAGACCACGCCTCCCTTGGAAGCAGCATACGCCGCCAACCCCGGGAAGCCCCGAGGGGCGATGATGCTCGCTAGGTTGACGATCGAGCCGTCCGTGACGTTGTCCGCAAGCATCGACCTCACAGCTGCTCGGTTTACCAGGAAGGTTCCCTGTGGGAAAAAATGAATGGAGACCAACCGAGGGCCGTCACTCAAGAACCAGACATAGACGTCAAAACAGGTAGGGGGGAGCAGAGGGGAGGGGGCAGGGACCGGCATACCAGAGAAGGAAGTTAAAACTGCCCCCCCCCCCCCTCTTCCATTCCATTACCACCACCTGCTCAATAGTTCTCATGCCACTTGTGTCAGATACCAGGAGACAAGGCGCAGTTTATCAGGCGTCTATGCATTGAGCAATGTGACATCTCGGAAATATCCTGACTATATTTACGGCAATTTTCTTGTTTATGGGATTCATTCGTGGACGTCATCGAGAGTCAGTGGCTGCATCCCATGATATATCTAACCAAGGGAAAACACGTTGATGTTGATTTTTTTTATCATAAATGTCAATTCACAGGTTCAATGTCAAATACGTTTTTAAGTGACATATATGGGTGTTCTACGGCAAAAGAGGAATTCATTAAATGTTTGCAGAATACTGCAGGGCACGGTACTCTATTTTGCCCTTAATCTCGTTGCTTGATGTGTCAGGGGCCGAGTGGGATCCCCGCTGTCACGGCAAGCATCGTCGGGACGGTAGAAATTCTAAACTACGAGCGATGGACAGCGATAACCCTATTTCAGCTGGAAGCCGCCGATCCTCCACTCGAGCCAGAGAATTTTTCAGAAGCTTTTTTGAGTCATCTACAAGACCGACAGATAGCCCGGCATTGAGGAACATTTCCGGGTTTGCTTCACCATTGCCATAAAAGGGAGCTCCTTCTACAAAAGCCAGAGGGGCGCGAGACCCTTTTTTCACATTAGTTCAATTGTTTTATTACCTCTAACGTTCTCAAGATAGCAGTTTATTTGAGACGGCTGTATTTACAATAATGTGCACAACAATAAAAACAAAAGTCAAATTCGGAAAATAAAACTGTACGCACTCCACAAAAAAAAAAAAAAAATTACAAATTTTACGGGATTTTCGTGTTGTTTTTTTTACTTTCGTGGACAATGTGCGTGGGCGATGCATTCCAGTTGGCAATGTCAATGAAGAGTGGACAGTTTTGAAATGTTCTAGTTCTGGTGATGGGAGGCTGAACTTTAAGGGGGTGATCAAGGAGCTGTGATATCTGACATGGGTCCTGGAGATGATGGCTGCCAAATTCAGTTGATGAATAGTAAATGACATGGAAGAAAACAAGACGGGCAATTTTTGTTCTATCGGTGAGTAGTCTTCAGCCTAGCTTTTTTTTAAAATCGCTGTTTCGCTTGGGGTATACAAGTAGTCATTGGTAATATATGGGGATGCTTTAGTTTGTACCGATTCGAGCTTGTATATAAGATATACTGGATGAGGACACTTGATGATGTTAGCGAATTCTAGTTTTGAATTGACAAATCTGTTATATGCGGTTGCATTTACGGTTTTTGATTGGTGAAAAATATTGCGTTCAATATACCCTAGTGCTTTACAGACGCTAGAGATGGTGTTATTGATGTGATCATTTCAAGTGAGGTGCTCAGCAAATGGGACTCCTGTGTACTTGTAAGATCTAGCTTTATCGATCTCTGTGTGGTTGAGTGAATATTTTTACTGATAAAGATGGTCGGCTGGCATATGATAATGTTTAGTTTTATGTGCATTATGTTTAGTTGCCCAGTGGGGCCCCAAAGGAAAATAATGCTCAGGTTCTGTTGTAATAGTGATTGATCACCCGGGCTAGTGATGCCACGATACTCAACACCGTTATCCGCGAAGGGTCTTATGTGGGATGGTAAGTTGAGTGGGAGGTCGGTATTATATATTAGAAATAAAAGTGGTCCCAAAACGCTGCACTGTGTAACCCCCGATTTCACTGGTAATTCGGGAAAGTTTGTTCCCCCAACATACGTAGTTTGCTTAAGGTTAACGAGAAAGTTATAAATCCAATGTATGATAACAGGATAAATGTTGAGTTGAGTTAGCTTCTAGAGCAAACGTTGGTGGGGGTACTGTACCGCAGGCTTTAGCAAAATAAATGAAAATGACATCAGTAGTTTTAGGAGCATGGACATTATTGTGCAAATCAGTTGCAAATTAAAGAATGTTGGGTTTCGCAAGAAAAGCTTTAATGAAGCCATCTTCGTTTGTGCAGAGGAGTTGATGGTCACAAGAAATAGCTAATAAAACAGGAATATATAATAGGCTCCATAATTATACAGGGCATGCTTGTTAAGGTTTGTGGTGTATAATAACATATTGTTTTTATCTCCAGATTTAGAAATTGGCAAACGTTCCCAGAACTCCAGTCTGCCGGAAGGTTTATTTATCAACTGACTGCTTGAAAATAAGAAAAAGCAAGCAAGGAGATGTTATTTGGGTTGCTTTACAAAGTTTCGGACACATTTCGTCATCTCTGGGTAAAGTCCGTCGATGCTGGCCAGAATTTCTTTCTTTGTAAATGTGACAAACTCACACAATAAAATAGGCGAAACACATATTCAATCACATGCTTAGGAAAACAGTTCCTCGGCAAAGACAGATAAAAAATACTCATTAAAGACGGATGCTGATTCGTCGTAGGAGAGCTCCTGTCCATAATCATTAGAGACACTGGGCAAAGTTCGCTCTTTCTGGCGAACAATAGTTTTTCAAAATGTTTAGGATTAATTTTCAACATATTAAGAGGATCGCTCATGTCCCTTTTATTCACGTCGCTTCCTGTGTCAGGTGCTGACTGCGATTCACTCTGGTATGACAGCATCGTCGGGACGGCAGCAGTTCAAAACTACGAGCGATGAACAACGAGAACCCTGCTTCCGCTAGAAGCCATGGATTGTGCACTCAAGCCACAGGATTTCTCAGAAGCAATTCTGAGTAATCTAAAAGGACGACATATGGCCAGACATTGAGGGACGTTTCCAGATCCGCATCACAATTGCGATAAAAGGAAGCTGCTTCGCTAAATGGCGCATTACACCCTTCTTGGCCCTTGTTCTCGTTGCTTTATGCATCAGGTTATTTACTTGAATTATTCCAAGTCTTACCTAACGAGCACTGTAATGCTTGTCAGAGTTTCGTGGAATCTCAGAAAGCGGGTGCTCTGCAGGTGTATTCACACTCTGGGTTTTCGTGGAGTTGATACGTTAATATCGCTGTGTTTTTATACCTAGCTTTTGTTTTCTGATACTTTGCTGCGTCTGCCTGGAAGACCTGGAATTAAACCCCGGTCCCAACACTATCTCGAGGGATGATGAATCAAACACTGAACCAGAGACCAATATTCTCTTTTCTATGCAAACGCAGCTAGGCGGTGCTCCAGTATTGACATTCCATTCGACTTTCTGGTCATAAAAAGAATGAACGAAAATGACTTTATCACCGCTGCTTGAAACTTCGACGAAGCATTTGACCACCAACTTTCCAGGTAAACGTCAAAAGAATCAGAAAGCGTAAGATCCGTTCAAAATTTTCGAATATTCTTAAAAGCCAACTTGTGTTCTCCAAGACAAGACAATATATTGTACAGTCGAAGCTGCTCGGTAAATATCCTATTTTTTGTCGGTGGAGGATTTATGCTTTCTAGCCCTGGTGACATGAGCAAGCTCCACAGGCTTGCAAAGACTGAGGGACCTGAAGTCACTTTGAAGGCCAAGCCGCGGTACATATTTGCAAACTGTATAAGAGCATATAATGAACAGCTTAAAACATCGTTAGAATGCTCATAGATTTTAAAGCAGGTCAGTCAGCTGTACTGATGAAGGTTAAAGGCATTGCAAGAAAACATATTGACCTAGAGAAAAAAGTACCCGATGTTATTTTCAAGACTAAGAAGATAGGAAAACGTGTCACACACCGAACAAAAGAAGAGATAGATGTAGACAAAGCCAGTCGATCTTAAAAATACGGGTAACAGGTAAAACTTTCCAAGCAGCCCAGAACTCTCGGCCAAAATTAGGCAAATGTTTAAAAGTTTCCCGTCTCGGGAAGCCCGAAGAAGCCAAAGTAGAGCCAAATCTGACCATACTTGGCAAGAGTCTGGGTGTTTTTACCTTGATTCGCCAAAACAAAGTGCAAGTGTCAGGGCTCACTACCTGGTAGTTCCATTGTCATCTGGCCTCTTGGTCAAAATTGCCAAATGAGTTCGAGTTAGGCGTACAACCGAGTAGGTTGGTTGTCATCTGGCATATTTTTCCTAAATCGCCAAACCAGTGTCAAAGTTAGGCTTCACATCCTGATAATTAGGTTGTCAATAGGAAACTGTGCTCTAAAGTTTCCAAACAAGTGCCAGAGTTAGAATTACTCCCTGAGAGTTCAGCTTCCAATAGCCATATTTGGACACGAACCGCCAAAAATGTGCTAAAGTTCGGACTCCTTTCCTGATAGTTGAGCACTAATCTGGCATTCTTGGCGTAAATTGCCTAACTAGTGCTAGAGTTAGGCTCCTCCCATGAAAGTTTGATGATCGACTGGCGTCTTTGGTCCCAAATCGCCAAACAAGTCTCATAGTTAGGCTTCATTGCCTGCTAGTACGGTTAGCGTCTCGCATCTTTGGACCTCAATTCTCCAAATAATGGGAGACTTAGGTAATCAGGGCGGGTCCCGTCGGCTTATGTATGCTTGGATATGGGTGACCGATGAGTTATTGGTATGTCACGGGTAGTCTGCGACGTAATTAAATGAAACTTGAGTTTATTTCGCGCGCAGCATCATTATTTAATTTTGTTTGTTTCCTTTTTCCTCCAGCCAAAAGCTGGGCCGAGTGTTTTTCCCGTGGTTGGGCCAAACAACGGTGATTTTCGCTAAGGCAGATTACGCCAGAATGTTTGACTGTCACATATGTACGCGCTCCAGTATCCGATGGGAGATGTACACAGGCTCTAACGGACCAGCTGTTGGCTCGACATTTCCGCAACTGTTGCCATCGAGCGGGCGCTGCGCGAGCTTGATGTACGCAGGTCTCTTCAACACATGCCATTATTAGGTGACGCGTTGCAAAAGCGAGCTCAGGTCTGGGCATGTG